TCCTTTTATTTAATGTCCTAAAACTTATATAGATATGGCCTAAATTATTTAATATTTTTACCGCTTATTTAAAATTACGTACTTTATAGAAACAAGGATGGGTTTTGCAAAATACTGAAAAGAAAATTTATTTGAAGTGAAAATGTGAATGAAATATTTGTTTCAAAGTTTTTACATAAAAATATGTTTTTATTTTTCTTAGAAACTAATTCATTATTTGCAAAATCGATCATTAAAGTTATTAAGAACTCTCTAATAAATGCAATAAGAAAATTTGGGAAAAAACATTGAAAACTGTGGGAGAAGAATGAAATTTTAATTGTACCTTTCTTCAAAAAATTTTAATTAAAAAAAATTACTGACCAAAAAAGTATTAAAAAATTTGAATGGTTTTCAGATTTTAAATTACATCCAAAGGAGCGTTTTTTTTTTTAACGTTTCGTGTGTTACCTTTATTTATTAAATATCATGTTCTACGTATTCAAACCATAAAATTAAGTTCAATAGCAGTATCGCAAAATAATTTTAAAATGAGCATATCTTTAGAATTTCCGATGCAGAGTCTCGCGCGTCTTTTTCCGCGAAGTTTTGCCAATGCTCGCTTTGAAATCGTTGAGTTTGTTAATAAAAAAATTCCTGAAAGTTTTACAAAATATGAAATAGTTAATAAAACAAATTCCAAATTTTGTCTTCCATATGCCCGTACTGGGGTGGAAACGCACGTTATTCAAAATTGGATAGCTCTAAGTACCGTTGTTTTATCATACTGCGAGAAACGTACATACATTTATGCAGTTTCTTCATTATTTAATTAATTTAAATATAATACAGGGCAATAATATTTGGTGGCAATAATTTGAAAAGTGATTCGCCGTTTAGTTTTAAACGCCAAATGCCAAAACGAAATAAACAGTACTTCATGGCAAATTGTCCCTTTGGACTAAAAATTTTCTTTCAGCTTAAAATTATCTTGACTTGCAAAACTATTTAATAATATTGAAAAAAAATAGATGAAAGTTTTTAAATTAAAAAAAAAAATCATTCAAAATGTACCGAGTCCCCTTGTCTTGTTGAAGACGATATGCGCGTCTTTAGTTTTAATTTGAAGAGTATTTCTGGAATACCCAGCATCAAATAACATTGTCTATACTAGTTTACAAATTCCCGTATTTCGTACGGTTCCATCTAATTTTTTTGGGACGATATCGCATCCCCAGATAGCTATCATCGCGATTATTTCGCTGACAGTCCAGCAAGCAGTCAGTTGCACTTCAGCCATGTTGTTTGTTAAAATTAGTGAACGGCGCAATCGCGCAGTGCAGTATGGAAAATCTCCCCATTTGCCCTGCTCCAGAGAGGTAGAAACATTCAACCAAGTTCTACCTCCAATTCGGCGAGGCAGTTAATGCCTGTTCGTCATGTGAATGGGACACGTTGGAAGAACAGATTTTCGCTACCGGTCGAATCTGCTCTTGTGAATGGGGCTTTACTTTGCAAGGTGTACAGTTGCTTCCGTGGCAACCGTTCTCTCCTGATCTCTCGCTAACCGAACATATTTGGAATGTGATTGGATGCCATTTTCAGATCCTGGCATTGCCGCATTCAGAAGATTAACTGTGGCAAAGGGTTGACAGGAAATGGAAAACTATTCCTCAGGACATCATCCGTAGTCTCACTGACTCTGTACCTAAATGCGTTGCTTCATGTATCGCCGTCCAAGGTGGCTCTACAAACTACTAAGCCGAAGCTGTTCTCGCTCTGTATTATGCATATAATTTCGAAATAAAGATAATTTACTCTCTCTCGCTGTTTGCCGAGTTTCATCGCTTTCTGGCCAGTCCTTCTTGGTATTGCATTTTTCAATGTCGGGGTAGTGTATTTGCTGCGATGTTTTCCGCAGACACCTGCCAAAGCGTATTGCGAAAGAAAAACAAAGTGTAGAAAATTATATGAAGAACGCCCAGCTGCTGATAAATTGAAATCTGTAGTAACATTCGATGAGGCATGATTATATTTAAGTGAATGTAATAAAAAACATCATTTTTTTTTTGGCTCAACTATCGAAAATGATCGTGCGAAATGGCTCCGTCAATGTATAGAAAAGTTCCCAACGGGATTCGTGCTAACTGTAGGATTTTTTTACAACGGTAAATTGAAACTTCAAAAAGTCTGAATTAAATCTAAAATTAATTCACTGTTCAGCAGAACATTTCAGAAACAATTAAAAAAATTTCCATGCTAATATGGGTAGGATATCAATAAAGTTGAGCTTCAAATGAACCAAGTCTCCACTCACATGTCTAAGTTACCAGCCATTTATTTAGCAATCAGAAACAGAAATAAAATTTATCCCATTTAACGAAATACCTGAAAATCCCATGACTTTTTTTTTTTTTTTGGAGATTTTGCGCTTTCGGTTTGTTAAAACGAGCTTTAGGAAAACGGCATCCACGAACAATAAACGGGCGTTGGAAAAAGACCCAAGAGGAGTGGGATAAAATTTATATAATGGTGCTGAGAAAAAAATTACTTTCATTGAAAAATTTGAGTTATAGCTGTAGCCAAGAATCAAAGCTATCACATAGAAACAAATCGCGCAAGAAATACTCCGTTTATACATAAAAATTAGCTATCAAAATCGTTTCCATTAATGGAAAGTGCGAACGACCTTCTGCATATATACACTTGAACTGTATGATTTTAAACAGAATACTTCTGATCAGTGAACTCCTGCCAAAATACAACATTTGGTATTAGCTTACTTATTATGCTAAAACTATATCCAGGCAATTGCTTCAATTCAAAAAAATAACAAAGAAATTCTCAGCCACAATTTAAACGCTTCTATACTTCTTATGATTCAGTTACCTTACTGATAGTTAAAATAAAGAGCAAACTACGTAGGGGGAACAGGAAAGTCCGTTTGTCTCCAAACAACTGGTGAGCTATTCCTACAAGATAAGGCCGATTACAGCTGCTCTACCGGTGAAATTCGGAACATAGCAATCCTGTCTCAAAAACTGCAAGAAGTAAGGGAGAAAGTCAATTAAAATGTTATAAAGCACCATTATATAAATCAGTTTAGAATGAAAAGGCATATTGTGTGTACGGATGCGACAAATAATGGTCTGTATAGCTTCTGCGATCACTAGAACACACTTCGATGGATTTCTTCTACTAGGGTAAAAAGAGGGTACATCATCTACCGGTCTTCTGGATCTACGATATCATATCACTGATGTATGCAGTAATACCTTCCATGTTAATGGATGTGCATGCAAATATATTTTTTCGAATAAGATATATGCACAGGACCAATGGTAACCTCTTCGACCACGCTCAGCATTGCCTTACCGAGTTTTTTTAATATCAAGATTTTATCTTTTTTTATTCATTTTTGATTTAGATGATGTAAAAAACGACAATGTTCTACAACTTTTGTGATTATTGTTTTCCTCTTACCTTCCATAGGTTTTTGAGAAAGGGTTGGTCAGTTTTGAATTCTGAAAGTACAGACGCTGCAGCTAGTTTCATCCTGTAAGATACAGTCTCTTTACTATATGGTGAACATTACATTCACAACTGTACTTAGCTATGTTTGCCACAGACATGTGGATTTCCCTGTTTACTTGGCATAAATTGATGTATTAAAAATAACTTGCCCTAACACACCAAATCTAGTCTTTCAGAATATATCTTTTTTCCACAATATCATTAATTTCAACGAATGGCCGATTAGATTATTTAAATACTTAAGTTTTTACAGCATATCATTTCCAGGTGCCTTAGAAAATCTCACAACCTTCTACATATTTATATGCTGCGAGGCTACAAAGTGGTAGGGTACAATTTCATATTCACTACTTTGATACTTAATGAATAAATACTCAGAAAATCTTTCGTTTCTGCATAAATCCTGACGCAGTATTTCATACGCAGACAGTTATTTGTAAATGCTATAACGATTTCAATTTAAGCCTTGAAATCATACATAAACTGAATTATAAAATATATTGAAATCATATATAAATTGAATAGAAACAATTCCCAATAAATACATCAATATTTTCAATAAAGTAAAAACAAATGTTTGAACTATTGACGTAAAATATCGTTCTTTCATATTTATGAATCACAATTCGCAGCCCCTTTAAAACTATAGGATTTCAAACCCCAACATTTTTTATATCTGTACTTACAGCATAAAGTTCAAACTGGTATTACGTTCCATGCCCGGCAAAGCCGTGACAAATGATACACCATCTTACTAGCATAACGATCACTGGCAGGTTCAATTTTTCCCAGAAAACAACGTACAGGTTTTCTGAGTTTTGAAAAATAAAGCCTTTTTATTTTAAAAATGGTTTCAAGGAAAAAGTAATATTCAGTGACATGTAAAAAATAAAACTAACGGTGGCATCTCTAAGTCCAAGATGCCCACGGATGTCAATCACCTGAGAAGAATGTGGTATATCTTGACGGATATTTCTAAAAATTTACAAACATTTATTCTGCAGCACATATATGCAGCTGCGGATAATCTTGACAGTAAAAATACAGGAAAGGAATAAATGCATTTAAAACTCTTCGCACAACTTTCAAAGTAATATATTTTTTCATCGTTATTTTCTTAAACAGGCACTCACTCCTAAAAAATTAAATGTGATTATTGCAAATATTTTCAAAGGTTATGATGAAGCAATTATTTAGTTTGTTTTTCCTTTAGTTTGTCTTCCTACTTTTAAACCCCAATATCATTCAAAATTGCTCTTTAATCTTTCAAATGTCAGGCAAATTTAAAATTTTCTTCGTAGCTGTGTGAGTTGTACACCACCCGTCAAACGTATTAAACAGGTTAAAGGCCGCTTATATTTTACGATGAAAATTACTTTGGGTATGTACTAAACAAATATTCAACAAAAACATCATTCGGCAAATGAACAGCTATCAAAAACTGCACAGTGCATTTAATCTGGATGCAGTGCATTGCTGTTACTCACCCTTTTGTGTCTCTGCCAAGAAGTTCTTCATGTAGACGAGCCTTGTAGTCTTCCAAGAAATTTTTCTCTCCATCTCCAGTCAACTTTGACGTCTCATCCTGTAGAAAAAAATTTAAATCTCGAAACTAGTTTAATCATGTGCTATTTTTCAGAAGTTTTATTCAATTTCGTACAATTTTCGCGCCTTATGAAATAAATTTTCTTACGAGTTAAATTATTTTGAATGCACTTTTCCAGGAACACAACAATATAAGCCTTGAAAACATTCTGCTTATGTATTCAAGTATGTTAAAGACTTTACTGAATAGCTTAGCTTTATATTCTTCCCATTTTGAATTTTGAGAAAGAAAGAAGTTATCTGTAGAAATTTTATACTATTTACAATTTGTATATAATTTACCATTATTCATTTTATCTTTAGGTTCAGTCAAACTGAAGCAGCCAATAATAATAACATCAAAATGAATGCCATATTAGATAACAGGTAGGTCAAGAACGTGTTCCATATTGAAATAATATGGCTTTAAGCCATATGGTATAAACTTTATATTCAATTATGAAGCTAGTGAATTGGCTGTAAATTTAACACTTTGAATATTAAAAGAAATAAGTTGCATTATAGAAATGAAACATCAACCGTATTTTTATACATGATTCTAAACAACAAACGTAATCAAAACGGTCAGAAACAAACTTTTTATAGTTTTTTTTAATTAGGGAAAGTAACGTAACATGACATTCACTATGTTTGGTAATTTTTAATTTCCATATTAAGACTCTAGATATTAGATGATTGGTCTAAATAATACTTAGTTCAGTGATTGGAAGGGCCCCGTATTCACCTCATCTCAACCATCGAATTACTTCTTTTGAGGTTACTGTAAGAACAAAATATGCTATAAAACCCAAAGCGCCTTGATGACTCTAAGAAAATAATACTCCATAAAGTTCTGGAGATTATAACAGATAGTTTTAAAGTAATCAAAACATTTGAGAAAAGTTTTCGCCATGGAATCGTAACTAATGATAAATACTCTGAAAATACTGTGCATTACAGCGATGAATGGCTACTATTGTACTATTTAATAAATTGGAAATTTCAAATATGTTTCACATTTTAGAAATAAAAAGTATTCATTTTTGTATGTTTTGATTGACTTATGTCAACAAAAACAAGGGGAGGCATACATTAAAAAATGTTCTGTCTCTATGCGAATAAAATGAAAAATTCTTCCAGATGAAAGTTTCAAAATGTATACCAGTCTAACAGCAGCCGTAAGGAAGATTTATTTAAAAGAAATCAAAAGTTTAAAGTAGTATTTCACTAAGGACTTTAGACGATAGAATGACTTCGCATGCAGGTTCAAAAAATTAATAACACTGGATTAGAATTGACTATAACAGGATTGCTAAACAAGGATTTTCTTAGTTTAATGTCTTATACGGGAAGAAAACTTGTTATCTGAAAATATTATTGTTTGAAAATTAAATATACAGCACGTGGAAATTAAAGATTTCAAGCACGCTTGAGCAATCTCTGTTATTAAATAATGAAGAATCTGTATGTATGTATGTGTGTATGAATATTTCTCGCATTGTGAAAAAAATGGCGGTATCTACAAACACGAAAGAGTGAACACAAAATAGTCCTACAAGCGAACATATGCAATTCGAAGCCCGAATGGTGAATTTAGAATTTTTTATTTATTTATTTCGAATTATGTGCGAATTTAATGACATTTTGATTAACAAACTCGACAATTAAAAACATTGTTTGCCATTCGGGAAACCGAAAGATATTAAAATACCTTTGGTACTTTATACCTCGATTTATACACTTTTAATATATTGCTTTAATTTTATAGACATATTTCATGATGCACGTACATGCATTTTCTTATAAATGTCACAAAAATATTCTAGGCCGTATATATGCGAGCTTGCTGGGTTTATGTTTCAAATTTGATCAGGAAAACTAACGATTTAAAAAAAATATACTGCCGCACCCAAAAGCATAAGATATTTGACTTTCGAATTTAATTAGCAAAATCCTAGATTTAAAAAATATGTTACTACTATTCGAAATAAAATATTTTATCTTCCCCGCAAAAAAATTAAGCAAAAAATTTAAAAAGATCAGCAATTAGTTTTCTTAAATTATGCAGTACTGATTTACATAGCGGAAGGTAACCATTATATAAAAGAAAAATCACATGTGAAATATTTATTAATCAAAATAGCAGATCGGGTGATTAGCAGATTTATTCAGGGATGATTAAAGACATGAAAAAGCTCTTCAAGTGGATCAAAGAGTTGAAAAAGACTCCTTTAAGATAATTATAACCTAAAATAAGAGTGGATAAAAAATTTCTTCAAATATTAAGGAATCATATTAAGATTCAAATTACAATACATTGAAAGTTATAGATTAGATTTCAAATACGTAGATATGAAAAATAATAACTTAAAATAGGCAATGAAATTCTCTTGAAAATATTTAAATTTATTCAAGTTTAACTAAGATACGAGACCGTCAGATAAGTACTTAATCAAATACACATTTATATGGTGCTAGTAAAGACAGCGTAAACTAAACCGAATAATTGTACCACTGCACAGAAGTTAAGAACACTATGATGTTCTTGTCGTACAAAATTTTGAAAATTAATCACAACAGATAAAAAAATTAATAGATAAAGCATTTTAAGATTTAAAATTAGAAATTCTGAACGCAGGCTTTTCCTAGCATAAAAAACCAATTAACAAGCATAGCTGAACAGTTTTATTTGAAATCAAGCACTGCACGAGGGAAATGTTTCATAAAAGTATTTAATATTTAATCTTGTGGAATTAAATAAGCATTTTGGATATTAACCCAGCCAAAACTTGTGCATTTTCTACGCTTGGCCACGTACTGCAGATGCGAGGAAATGAACCGAATTACGTGGGTTAATTTGATTGGTGGATTCATTTCCTCGCACGGACAACATGCCAATCATTGCAGCCTTAACAAATCTGCTCAATTACCCGACTTAATCTCATTCGGAGACGCATTTCTCTCAGTCACTAATTGAGTCGCAATCAGTTAAAGCGATTGGTTTTCAGCCCACAAATCCAGTTAGTGGCTTAGTTTTCATACAATTTGCGAACAGAGTACATGTGGGAATGAAATAGTCACAATGAAGTGAAAAGATGTTAAGCAGACACTGGAGTTCTATTATGAAAATTTACTATTAATGATATAAAGCAAATTTAATCTTAAGAGTTAGAAAGTTATCACTGGATGAATAAACCTTCCAATACATAGCTTCTGAGCATTGTTGAAGAAACCGAAAATGTAAGCAATGGCTACGTGACTAGAATGCTTACAACATCTAATAATAAATACCGGCATTCTATTTAGTTAATAATTTTCATAGAAGCCTCAGGTGAATTTTTAAGGCAATAAAAGCATATAATTTTGAATTTAATTAAAACTATTATTATTATTAATTGTATACAAACTGATATATGTCATTGTGCATTCACGATTTAAGAACAGGCAACTAAGAAAGAAAGAAGAAGCTTTCATAAGAAAAGAAAGTTAGAGGATCCTTATTCTTCATAGAAGATATATATTTTTGTTTTTGTTCTATTCTGCCCCATGGTAAGGAATTCTAAAGAACGGCAGAATATTTTTGTTTTTTGGAAAAGAAAGACTTTTGTGCCTGTATCCTTTAAAATGCCGTTTTTAAATAAAACTAAATATTAAATTTAAATTTGATACTAACGTGCTTCTCTTCCATATACAGCCAAACCTTATTACAAGGTCATTTTTGGAGTCAGGAAATTTACATATTACTCGGAATGACCTGTTATCTGAAGTTATAATAGCAAGCCTTTTTGGTATAAATGAGCAAGACACCGAAATAACTGAAACAAAAACTTGAATATTAAACTCTTTTATCTAATTATTATTCAGAATTAAAAATAAATTTTAAAGCATTTACACGAAAGAACACTATAGGGTAATAAATGCCATATTACCGAAAAGAAAAATATTCTAAAACTTACGTTTGGTTTTTGGAACAATTATTATTAGTTCTGCGTTTAATTTAACACAAACGTTCACGATCTTCTGATGTTATTTTCTTCAGCAGATACAAAAAACTTTTAACAATACTTAAAATTCCCCCAAATTCTCTTCCCTCACTCTCTTCGGCTGATACTTTATGAAACTATCAGGTCCAATGTTCCGTCTTACCTTCTTCGGGAACATGCAAGGACCTGACTCGGAACAGAGAGCTTACTAAAGCTATGTTCAATGACTGTGGGAAGATAGACAGGATACACAAGAAGGGTATACAAAACCCTTTATTTTTCTCTATTTACAATAACTTCCGTATTTCGGAAATACACAGACCCGCTACTTGGGGTCAAAACGTAAAAGTATAAAAATAAAACTAAACTCTAATTTAACTTTAAAATAATAAACGTGGAAGATTGGCCTTATATTAACAGGAAGCCGATGTAGTACAGGACTGTAACACTATCAATACGTTTAAAAAATTATCAAGAGGATTAAAAACCTCTGGCCTGGAAGGCAACCAGCAACTGAGTAAACTTCTAAGGTAAGCGGCCTGCTTCGACTAACTGCTTCCTCTCTCTCGCTTGGCAAAAAGCCACAACTTAAGTACTTGGCGTTCGCCAGACAAACTTTGCATAAATACTTTAATGCTTATAATTCTGGCCGGAAGTAGAAAATAAGAAGTGATAGTAAAGATTTAAAATAAAATAAACGTTAGTAAAACTTAAGATCCTTACAAAACTTATGAGAAAGTTCCTCGTAGTTACTAAATTTCCTTCTCTAAGCAACAATGTGCTACGCTCTTTCAAGAAATCTATCGAGAAATTAGTAAAATCTAATAAAATTTGTTTCTCTATTTGAGAGCTAAGCGATGGGAATTCAACACCAGCTGCAACAGAATTTGTAAAACAAGTGTACTGATTCCCCTAGGAAAATAGGAAGCTCACACTCATTTTTTTGGCTGCTGAAATTCCTTATATCAGATACTGAAAATTATACTTCTGAAGTATTTTTATCTGCTCGATAGTTTTT